TTTTTTTTTTTTTTTTTTTTTTTTGAGATGGAGTTTCACTCATGTTACCCCAGATTGGAGTGCAATGGTGCGATCTCGGCTCACCGCAACCTCCGCCTCCTGGGTTCAGGCAATTCTCCTGCCTCAGCCTCCTGAGTAGCTGGGATTACAGGCACACACCATCATGCCCAGCTAATTTTTTGTATTTTTAGTAGAGACGGGGTTTCACCATGTTGACCAGGGTGGTCTCGATTTCTTGACCTCGTGATCCACCCGCCTCGGCCTCCCAAAGTGCTGGGATTACAGGCTTGAGCCACTGCGCCTGGCCAAATGTCTTCTTTTGAGAATTGTCTGTTCATATGCTTGCCCACTTTTCGATGGGGTTTTTTTTTTTTTTTCATGTAAATTTAAGTTCTTTGTAGATTCTGGATATTAGCCCTTTGTCTGATGGGTAGATTGCAAAAATGTTTTCCCCTTCTGTTGGTTGCTGGTTCACTCTAATGGTAGTTTCTTTTGCTGTGCAGAAGCTCTTTATTTTAATTAGATCCCATTTGTCTATTTTGGCTTTTGTTGCCATTGCTTTTGGTGTTTTAGTCATGAAGTCCTTGCCCATGCCTATGTCCTGAATGGTATTGCCTAGGTTTTCTTCTAGGGTTTTTATGGTGTTAGGTCTTATGTTTAAATCGTTATTCCATCTGGAGTTAATTTTTGTATAAGTTGTAAGGAAGGGATCCAGTTTCAGCTTTCTGCATATGGCTAGCCAATTTTCCCAACACCATTTGTTAAATGGGGAACCCTTTCCCCGTTGCTTGTTTTTGTCAGGTTTGTCAAAGATAAGATGGTTGTAGACGTGTGGCGTTATTTCTGAGGTCTCTGTTCTGTTCCATTGGTCTATATCTCTATTTTGGTACCAGTACGTTGCTGTTTTGATTACTATAGCCTTGTAGTATAGTTTGAAGTCAGGTAGCGTGATGCCTCCAGCTTTGTTTTTTTGTTGTTGTTTTTGTTTTGATTTGATTTGGTTTGGTTTCTTTGGCTTAGGATTGTCTTGGCTATGTGGGCTCTTTTTTGGTTCCATGTGATGTTTAAGGCAGTTTTGTCCAATTCTGTGAAGAAAGTCAGTGGTAGCTTGATGGGGATAGCATTGAATCTATAAATTACTTTGGACAGTATGACCATTTTCACGATATTGATTCTTCCTATCCATGAGCATGGAATGTTTTTCCATCTGTTTGTGTCCTCTCATTTCCTTGAGTAGTGGGGTTGTAGTTCTCCTTGAAGAGATTCTTCACATCCCTTGTTAGTCGTATTCCTAGGTATTTTATTCTCTTTGTAGCAATTGTGAATGGGAGTTCACTCATGATTCGACTCTCTATTACTGGTGTATAGGAATGCTTGTGATTTTTGCACATTGACTTTATATCCTGAGACTTTGCTGAAGTTGCTTGTTAGCCTAAGGAGATTTTGGGCTGAGACAATGGGGCCTTCTAAATAAATCATGATATCTGCAAATAGAGACAATTTGACCTTCTCTTTTCCTAATTGAATACGTTTTATTTCTTTTTCTTGCCCTATTGCCCTGGGCAGAACTTTCAATACTATGCTGAATAGGAGTGGCGAGAGAGGGCATCCTTGTCTAGTGCCAGTTTTCAAAGAGAATGCTTCCAGTTTTTGCCCAGTCAGTATGATATTGACTGTGGGTTTGTCATAAAGAGCTTTTAGTATTTTGAGACATGATTCATTGATACCTAGCTTATTGAGAGTTTTTAGCATAAAGGGCTGTTGAATTTTGTCGAAGGCCATCTCTGCGTCTATTGAGATAATCCTGTGGTTTTTGTCTTTGGTTCTGTTTATGTGATGGATTACATTTATAGATTTGCATATGTTGAACCAGCCTTGCATCCCAGAGATGAAGCTGACTTGATCACGATGGATAAAGTTTTTGATGTGCTGTTGGATTTGGTTTGCCAGTATTTTATTAAGGATTTTTGCATCAATTTTCATCATGGATATTGACCTGAAATTTTCTTTGTTAGTTGTGTCTCTACCAGGCTTTGATATCAGGATGATGTTGGTCTCATAAAATGAGTTAGGAAGGATTCCCTCTTTTTGTATTGTTGGAATGGTTTCAGAAGGAATGGTACCAGCTCCTCTTTGTAACTCTGGTAGAATTCAGCTGTGAACCCTGTTAAAATGCATGCTCTGAATGAGGGGACCGCCCCACCCCCCCCAACAAACTGTGTGTGAGCAGCATGGCTGCAGGCGGGCTGAGTCCAAAAAGAGAGTCAGTGCAGGGCAGTGGGATAGGAGTTGGTTTTATAGGTTTGGGGTGGGTAGCGGAAAGTTACAGAAGTTACAGTTCAGGGCAGTTTTTGCAAGCTGGGAGAGGGTTGTAGGGTATGGAGTCACAAGGTTGACCAAGGTTGGTTACAAAGTCCAGTTGCTTTATCAGTTGAGGTGGGAATAAAGAACAATAGAAGAATGTCACAGAGTTAAGTAGGCACTGCAGGGGTTGGTCATTTCTTCTCCTTTTGTGGTTTTCCAGTTACTTCAGACTTTCTAGTTGCAGGAACTCATCTGGAGTGTCACAGAGGTTGCCATGGTACAATCAGTCTAAAAGACCTACTTTCCTGTCTTTTTATATTAATAATATATAAGAAAAAGAAATGAAGAGTGGAGGGTGGTAGAATATTAGGGAGCCTGGCACAGAAGGGTGATGGGGTGATGTTTCTTAGGCCTTCTTCGAGTGGAATTGGGGGTGGCGTGGAAACCTGAAAATGGGAAAGAATTTAGACTGCTGGGAGATCTGGGGGCAAAGAATGATATTGTGGGGGTGTTAGAAGGAGCATTTGTCGTATTGACTGATTGGTTATCGCTTGTATACAATTTTGTAAGAATTGAGAGATTAATCGGAAAACACAGGGTCCAAATAAGAGAGTAGAAAGATAGGTATTGGTAAAATGGGTGCTCCAAATGAAGAGACACCTCCCCAAACAGGCATTGTGTGAACAACATGGCCGTTTATTCGCCCAGGTGCAGGTGGGCTGAGTCTGAAACAGAGTCACTTAAGGGCAGTGGGGTGGGAGTTGGTTTTATAGATTTGGGGTGGACAGTGAAAAGTTACAGAAGTTACAGTTTAGGGTGGTTTTATGCAAGCTGGGAGGGGGTCATGTGGTCTGAAGTCACGAGGTTGACCAAAGTCAGTTACAAAGTCCAGTGGCCTCTCATTTGGGGTGGGAATAAGCAACAATAGAGAATGTCTCAAAGTTAAGTAGGTGCCACAGGGGTTGATCGTTTCTTCCTCTTTTCGTGATCTTCCAGCTACTTCAGAGTTTCTAATTCCAGAAGGCCCTCCAGTGGTGTACATGTGGTTCCCCGGGGTTCGCCATGCCATCCACGGCACGGTCAGAGTTTATATTGCTGTCTTTTTATATTAGTAATATAAAGGAAAAAGAAATGAAGAGTGGAGGGCAGTGGAATATTAGGAAGGCTGGCACAGAGGGGTGATGGGGTGATGTTTCTCAGGGCTTCTTCAGGCGGGATTGGGGGCATCGCAGAAACCTAAAAATGGGAAAGAATTTAGACTGCTGGGAGATCTCAGGGCACGGAGTGATATTGTGGGGTTTTTAGAAGGAGCATTTGCCGTATTGACTGATTGGTTATCGCTTATATACGATTTTATAGAAATTGAGAGATTAATCGGAAAACACAACGTCCAAATAAGAGAAGGAGAAAGATAAGTATCATGGGACTAAGGATTGGAATAAGCCATGACTTCCAGTTAGAGGGTCCAGCCAGTCCAGCCAGGTCCACAATAACAATTTGCCTGATTAGCGGGCTTTTGGGCTCTTTCTTTTAATTTACTGATGGCATCATATACGAGGCTGGACTGGTTTAGGTAGAAACAACATTATTCCTTAGGGAATAGGCAAAGACCTTCTTTTTCAGCAGTCAGTAAATTAATAAGACTTCTGCGGTTTTGGAGGACAACTGCAGCTAGGAAATTGACTTGAGCTTGTAGAAGGGATAGTGATGGAGCTAACTGCAACGCTAGCAGAGAAATCGTTAGAGAGGCTACGAAAGGTGACAGTTGAAGTGGTAGGCCTGCTATGCCTGTGCCGAGTGCAGTAATTCCTAACCCTACAAGTAAGGGGATCAATGGAACGACCCGCTTGTGTCATGTCGGAACCGCAAGGGGAACAGGGAGGCCTTCATCTCCGTTGGCGAACTGAATTTTGGGAGTGAGGAAAACTAGGGTACAAGTGCCTATCCAGTTGGTAGGAAGGCAGATGTAAGAAGAACCCCAGAGGAAAAAAAGCTGAGAAAGCGTTCCGAGGGTGGGCTTTGGACCCAAATGCCAAGGGAACCAGCAAGGGCTGTGGCTGTTAAAGGTTGTAGTGCGGTTTGGTAGGTGACTGGAGGGAGAGCTTTTGTTGTCATGGTATATGAGGAAGCATGTACTATCTATAAGTAACTATGCAAGTTCATTAACAAGGTTGGGTATGAGCAGACAGGAAGAGGGTTCTGGAGGAGAGTCTGAGGGCAAGGGGAGGGTAGCCAAGGGTGGAGTGAGAGGCTAAAGGCCTACCTAGGCAAAACCTGCTATTGATGTTTTTTAAGGCTGCTAGTAATAAGGGAGGGCTTTTCTGTAATGTGCAGTTCATATGCTCCTATTTTTAGGGTAATGTAGGTAGCAGGGCTCTTGAGGTGAAGTGTAAAGGAACACAAAGAGGGTGGGAGATTTCCTAGGGGGATTCCAGTGGGTGATTGCTGGAAATGCATGGGGGAGCGGCAGTAGGAATAGTTGTTTGTGTGATTAGCAGTCCAGGAATGAGCAGTGTTGAGTTGACATAGGGAGAAAGATTAGGTAGGTAGGTGCATAGAAGAGCAGCAGCCTGTCGAGATGAGATAATCTGGGATGTCTCTGTCGATTCTGTCTAGGAGGTAGAGTAGTTCTTTGGGGGAGTACAGGTTGGGGGTGTTGAAAGATGTCTGCAGGTGTAAAGAAACAGGAGAGTTTGTCCAATCGGTCAGTAGGGCGGGAATGGCTGCGTAGTGGGAAGAGGAGAGGGAAATGCATAGCCAGCAATCTCTGGCTAAGGAAGGGTTTGAGTTGGCTAGGAGAGAGTAGGTTAGGTTTCTGGTATATTGGAGGTAATCAGGGAGAGGTAGAGGGTAGCAGGAGAATGGGAACGATATTAAGAGTGAGTATAAAAGAAAAGAAGAGGACTTAATCGGGTGGAGGAGCTGGAGAGTTCCTTGCCGCTGAAGATCATCTAACCACTCTAAAAGAGAGTCGAGGGTGGCAGCCTGGGGATAAAACCACAAAGTATCGGCAGGAATTGCCTGAAGGAAAAGTAAAGTGTAAACCGGCAGTATAAACAAAAACAGGGCATTTAAGTTTCCTCAGAAGAGGCTGGAGAGAGTACTTGCAACTTCCAAGCGGAGGTGGAGTAGTCAGGTTGGCTGTCTGAGGGGCACAGCTTCACCCTGGAGCGGTGAACCCACTGGGAGGGTCTTGCAGGCGGACAGCAGTTGGGGTGCTGTAGACAACCAGACAGGGTCCTGTCCACCAAGGTTGTAGGGACTGGGGGGCCAGGCTCTTTTTCAGAACTGACTGTCCGACTAGGGTGTCTTCATATGGCTGAATATCTGGAGTAGGTAAGAAAAGGTTAAGTTAGAGAAGCCTGGGAATTTCATGTCTGGCCTGCTGGAGGATTGGAAGGTAGTCATCAAGAGGGCTGATGTCTGGAATAAGGTTGAGCCCAAACAGGAAGCAGTTCAAAGGGGTTGTACCCTGTGGGTTCTCGGGGAGTTGCCTGAATTCTGAGAAGAGCAAGGGGTAGAAGAACTGTCTAGTCTTTCTTAAGTTGGAGGCCGAGTTTGGTGAGATGTGTTTTTAAAAAGCCATCAGTGCTTTCTACTTTGCCTGAGCACTGAGGATGGCGTGGGGTATGGAGATTCTGCTGGATGCCCAGGGCGGAGACTGCCTTGGTGTTCTGGCTAATGAAGGCCAGTCCATTGTCTGACTATGAACGTAGGGGACCGAAGCAGGGAATTATGTACAGAATCACTGCGATGGCCTTTTCAGACCCTGTGGGAAAGGCCTCCACCCATCCTGTAAAAGTGTCAGCTCAGACCAGGAGGTATTTGAACTTTCTGACATGGAGCATATGAGTAAAGTCTATCTGCCAGTCTTGTGAAGGAGTGAACCCTCAAGCCTGATGTGTAGGAAAAGGAGGGGACCTGAGGAAGTCTTGAGGAGTAGTAGAGTGGCAGGTGGAATATTGAGAAATGATTGCCTTGAGGATGGACTTCCACGATGGAAAGGAAATGAGAGGTTCCGAAAGACAGGCTCGTGGCTTGTACCCTACGTGAAAGTGTTCTTGAGAGGACAAGAGAATAGAATGAGCTTGTGAGGCAGGAAGGAGGAATTTTCCATGATCTAAGAACCACTTGCCTTGAGTAGGAAGTGATGGACAGGTTAAGTTTTCGGTGGGAGAGTAGGTGGGAATGACAGGTGAGGAGAAATACTGGCCATGAGTGGCAGGTATTGGAGCATCAGCTGCTGCTTTGCTATTTTATCAGCGTAAGCGTTTCCTTGAGTAATGGGATCTGATGGGTTCTGGTGTCCCTTGCAGTGAATGACTCCGACTTTGGCTGGAAGTAAAGCAGCTTGAAGAAGAGTTTCAATCATGGGGGCATTGATAATGGAGGACCCTTGTGTAGTAAGAAATACTCTTTCTGCCCATATAACAGAATGGTGATGAAGGATGTGGAAGACATGTTTAGAATCAGTGTAGATATTGACATGCAGTCTTTTTGCAAGTGTAAGAGCATGGGTTAAAGCAGTAAGCTCAGCTTGTTGAGAAGTGGTAGAAGGGGGATACATAGCAGCATCAATAATAGATGTGAGAGACACTATTGCATAACCTACTTTTGCTGGTGATGATCGATTGGGCTTTGAGGAGCTGCCATCAATAAACCAAGTGTGGTCTGGGTCTGGAATAGGAAAGAAAGAAATATGAGGAAATAGGGAGGATGCCATATGGATTAGGGAGATACAGTCATGGAGTTCAGGGTTTGTGTCAGGTATTAAGTGAGAGGCTGGGTTGAAGTCAGGTCCAAGAGCAGTGGTTACTATGGGGGTTTCAATAAAGGGTGCATCACGCTGGAGAAGGCGAGGGGCTGAAAGTAAGTGTGTGAGGTGTGAAGAGGAAATCTTGGGGAAGAATGGTCCAGGTTAACTGCTGGGACTGGTAGGAGTTCACGGCAAGGCTTCCAGGCCTCTCAAAACTCCCTGAGTAAAGGCAAAGTCAGTCCAAGTAAAGGCAACAAGAGGCTAAGAGGAGGGGTGTAAGGGGTTAGTGAAAAAGGTGTCTTTCTGATCAAGAACAGAAGAGTGAGTTATGGGTATGGAAGATAGGAGGGTATAGGGTTTGGTACAACAGGACGGATGGGAGGTATAATCTGATTGTTGAGGCAAAGGTCTTGGACTAGCCTATAGGATTTGTCTGGTTTCTGGACAGGTAGAATAGGGGAGTTGTAAGGAGAATTTGTAGGCTTTAAAAGGCCATGTTGTAATAGGCGAGTGATAACAGGCTTTAGTCCCTTTGAAGCCTGTTGTGGGATGGGGTACTGGTGTTAAGCAGGATAAGAGTGATTGGGATGATGAGGGGTAAGTGACTTGTAGCAAGGGATGGGGAGGTGGTGTCCTGCACCCTAGGGTTAAGGTAGGCGGTATAAGGGGAGCTTTTGAGGGAGTTAAGGTTCGGGGAGGAGGTTGGCAATGAGGTATGGCTGTAGCCTAGGAATAGTTAAGGAGGCAGACAATTTTGCTAGGATGTCTTGGCCTAACGGAAACTGGACAAGTGGGGATGATTAGGAAAGAATGTGGAAAGGAGTGTTGGCCCAATTGGCACTAGACTTGGGGAGTTTTGAGAGGCCTGTAAGCCTTGCCATCAATTCCCACAACAGTTATGGAGGCCAAGGAGACAGGTCCTTGAAAAGAAGGCAGCGTGGAGTGGGAGGCCCCCATATTGATTAAGAAGGGGATAGACTTACCCTCCACCATACGAGTTACCCAAAGCTTGGTGTCTGTGATGGTCCAGGGGGCTTCCAAGGTGTTCAGACAGCATTAGTCTTCAGCTGCCAAGCGAAGGAGATCTGGGAAGGATTTGATCTGGGAGCTGTGGGTTGTAGCTCCAGGAGCTCTGGGAGCAGCAACATGAGTCAGACAGTCCAACTTTTAGTGGGGACCCCACACAGACCAGGCAGGGCTTAGGAGGAATCTCAGGCTGTGGGCATTCCTTGGCCCGGTGGCCAGGTTTCCAACACTTGAAGCAAGGTTTGGGAGGGACAGTTGGATGCTGCAGTCTGGGTGCTTTGAAGTCTTTACGAGCCAGTGGTATGACTGGGGTTTGTCTTACCGCAGAGGCAAGCATCTGTAGTTCTGAGATGCACTGCCGCCAGGCAGCTTTTTCCCCATTGAACGCCTTGAGGGCAGGGTTAATTCTTGTTGTGGGGTTTGAGGGACAGATTCTAATTTCTGTGGTTTTTTTGTAATGTGAGGGGCTGATCGGGTGATAAAATACATATTAATCATTCTTCAGGGTTGGAGTAGAAGTAAGGATGACATTAAGTTACTCCAGGTGAGTTATAGGACTGGGTTAGATGTTGGAACTCTTGTATATATTTAGTAGGATCTAATAAAAAGGAGCCTAACCACTGGCCAATTTGGGAAGGGTCAGATAAAGAGAAAATAACATGCACCCTAACTATTCGTTCTCCTCCAGCCACCTCTCGAAGGGGGAATTATTGGCAGGGGCAGTTAGGAGTTAGCCATGGGACCAAGCTGTAAGCCGGACTGGGTGTGCGGCAGGGAGGTGACAGGAGGGGCATAAAGAGGTGGGCTGTGGGCAGAGAAAGAGGAGGGAGTCTCACGCGGTGGGGGTAAGGGCTGGATTGGAGTCTGGCTTGGACAGGAAGGGAGGAGAAAGAGCAGAAGGGTTGATGGGCAAGGAGGATTCTGGGTTGCTAGCAGAGGCAGGAGGAGCAGACTGAAGGGAGAGAAGGAAAATTTGGGATGGGTTGCATTGAGAGCAGGGATTAGGGAGGGATTGGAGTATAAAAGAAATGCCTGCTCCAGGTGCGGTGGCTCACGCCTGTAATCCAGCACTTTGGGAGGCTGAGGCAGGTGGATCACCTGAGCTTAGGAGTTGGAGACAGGCCTAACCAACATGGAAAAACCCTGTCTCTACTAAAAATACAAAATTAGCTGGGCGTGGTGGTACATGCCTGTAATCCCAGCTACTCGGGAGGCTGAGGTAGGAGAATGGCTTGAACCTGGGAGGCTGAGGTTGCAGTGAGCCAAGATCGTGGCACTGCACTCCAGCCTGGCGGCAGAGGGAAACTGTCTCCACCAAAAAAAAAAAAAAAAAAAAAAAAAAAACGGCCTGGACGTCGGGCACCTCAAACCATTTGCCCATTCGTTGACAAAAATTGTCTAGGTTTTACAGAATAGAAAATTTGAAAGTGCCGTTTTCTGGCCGTTTGGAACCGTTGTCTAATTTGTAGTGAGGCCAGACTGTATTACAGGAAAAATTAGATGTTTGGGTTCAGATCAGGCGACAGCTGAAGAGGTTTTAGGCTTTTTAGGATGCAGGCTAGAGGCGAAGACTGAGGAATATAGGGCAGTATATTGCCCGTAGCGAAGTTCTAAGGAAAGGAGTAGAGAAGAGGAGGAGAAGGAGCGAGCAGCTACCAGGGTCTTCAGTAGTCGGCCCTGACTGAATCCTGGGCTGTAGCATGCCTGAGTGATCAAGGCAGGCATCCCCAAGATTGACCAGACACCAAGGGAAGACTGTCTTCCCGAGTCCGTGACCAAGGTTGGAGTTTCTGAGCAAGAGGGAGAGATTTGTCTCTTCTGTCCCTACACGGATAGTGTCTCAAAGCTTTGTCTCTACTAGAAGGAGAAAGATTTAAAAGAAAAGAGAGGGAGAGACTTGTCTCCTTTTCTCTACCTAGAAGTAGAAGGATTTAAAGGAAAAGAGAGAGAAAGAGGGAGAGACTGCTTACCGGATCTGAAGGTGGTGAGAGAGCTATTCCGCATGGAGCTGCTGGGCTGAAATATTGAGGTCTCAGGTGAGTCTCTTCATAGAGGGGGAGCAGGGACAGGGGGTCAATCTCCCAAAGGATTACCCCTGTCACAGGTTTCGGCACCAAATGTTAAAAAGCATGCTCTGAATGAAGACACCTCACCCCGCACCCCACCCCGCAAAACACGCTTTGTGTGAGCAACATGGCTGTTTATTCACCCCGGTGCAGGCAGGCTAAGTCCAAAAAGAGAGTCAGTGCAGGGCAGTGGGATAGGAGTTGGTTTTATAGGTTTGGGGTAGGCAGTGGAAAGTTACCAAAGTTACAGTTCAGGGTGGTTTTTGTAAGCTGAGATGGGGTTGTAGGGTCTGGAGTTACAAGGTTGGCCAATGTTGGTTACAAAGTCCAGTTGCTTTATCAGTGGAGGTGGGAATAAGGAACAATAGAAGAATGTCTCAAAATTAATTAGGCACCACAGGGGTTGGACATTTCTTCTCCTTTTGTGGTTTTCCAGTTACTTCAGACTTTCTAGTTCCAGGAACTCATCTGGAGTGTACGTGCAGGTCACAGAGGTTACCATGGCACAGTCAGTCCTCCTAAAAGACCTTACAAACCCGTGTGGTTCTGGAGTTTTTTTGGTTGGTAGGCTATTAATTGCTGTCTCAATTTCAGACCTTGTTATTGGTCTATTCAGGGTTTCAACTTCTTCCTGGTTTAGTCTTGGGAGGGTGTAAGTGTCCAGGAATTTATCCATTTCTTCTAGATTTACTGGTTTATTTGCATAGAGGTATTTGTAGTATTCTCTGATGGAAGCCATCATTTTTCTATAGCTGCAGTTTAATTAACATGTAATATTTCCTCTGTTTTGAGAGACTTAAGTTTCTTGTGATCTGTACTCCCTTTACCTATACTGTCAGTGAGAACTATACACTATCACCACAAAAATGTGACACAACAAGGAATATACTGTCTTATTAATTGTTTTTAATGATTAATAGTGAGGTAAGTCTGTCCAGCAATACGTGGGATGTGAAATTATGATGCTTCTATATAGTGGATTATGCAATATGAAAAAAATGGGGAAGCTTTTTACATTCAGATATGGAAAGATCTCTAAGGTATATTGTTAACTGAAGAGAGAGAATGAAAAATAGGGGAGTGTATACAGACACAAATCTCTGAAGGCTATACAAGAAACTAGAAACAGTGCATACCTGTGGGGTGTGGGAGTCACTGGGCAGGTGAGGAATGAGGTTGGGGGAGACTTTTCACTGTGTGTCTTTTTATACGTTTTTTATTTTTGAACCATGTGACCATTGGCCTAAGTACAGGTCAAAGAGAATAATAAAAATTACTGGAAATCTTAAGTCTTTCACCTTCCAATACATATGTTATTGGCATTACATTGCTATGATTTTGATTTAATATATCTCCACAATAGTTATTTATTCTGAATTAGGAAGTCTATTATTTTAAATTATTAAACTGATCTAAAACAACTCTTAAAAGAATACTAGGTTATAAACAGTGGCAGAAAGGGAATTGCAGGATTGAGGAACATTCAGAATGTGGGCCTGGCTATCCCTCACGTGTTACTTGCCTCTTTCTTTCAGATGGTTCCTTCATCAGCTTCAGGCCAAGTTCGAGGTTACTATGTAGACTGGAGAATGTGGCGTGATGTGAAGAGACGAAAAATGGCCTATGAATACGCAGATGAGAGGCTACGTGTTAATTCACTCAGGAAGAATACCATTTTGCCAAAACTTCTACAGGTTGGCGAATTAAGATGAGTCTCTTTCTACCACAAGATCATTAACTCACGTCAGATCATTTTTGATATTGTTTGTTATGATTTGGTATCTGTATAATTTCTGGAGAATAAGATCCAAGTCAGTATAAACAAATAGCCTTGAAACTGATTTTGGTGAGTTTCAAATTAAAGACTATTCACTCCCAGCTAGCCTTTGAACCATTTCATTATGCCAGCCTTAGAAAGTACTGGTGAATTG